TGCGACACTGGAGGTCAGGCCATATGGCGGCCCACAGGAACATCCGTCTTCGTGGGAACCCAAAAAACTCCGCCGCGGTACTTAGGGAAGACCCTCGGAACCCGCCTGTGTGGGGTCCCAATTTACTTTTCGGGCCCACACGACCCGCATCCATCTTTTAAAGGACTTTCTTGGTTTTTCTTTTTTTACGTACTGTCGGATCAGCGCCTTATTCAGTTAGAGGTCGAGCACGTGTCTGTATTTCAATAGGTCTGAAGAGCAATTACGACCAAACCTGGCTGAGTCTGACTGCAATCACGTCCAAAGCTCGGTATAAAAAGTCATCATGTGAATATGCCCTTCTATTTCTTCTATTTGGAACCATGTTGTGTGTTGATCCTTCCACCATGTCAATTTTTCCAATACTAGTTGTGTTAACCATTCATCGTTAGTTGGTGGACGACTCTTAACGGACATATGTAGCCCCAAAATTCTGATTGTTGAGTTGGTTGGTACCCACCTTACCCACAGAGACTTCGGTGGAAGAACTCTTGTCATCAACAATGTGGTGCTGGCATCTCTGTGGTATAAGACAGTTATCTGGTCACTCAACAAGACAGCATTGCAACCCCTCCAGAGACAAGTAGCAGCCTTTCTCTAGAGAGGAAACCACGAGTGTAAAAGCGTGATTATTAGAGTCGCTTGGCGTACAATTATCCAACCAAAATCCAAAGGGGTCTTGCGGATCTTGGATCCTGCCACGGTGCCACACAAATTATGACCCTGACCCTAAAATGGGTTAAAAGCCTCCTTTTTGATACAGATATCCCTCGGTAACAGCTGACTCTACAACAGATCAGAAGGATGCCCCCCCCCACCCTGAGAGCATAGACGCGATTGGATGGCTAGAATACCAAGAAAGACAACGAGACCAAATGAGGAGCAAGAATCTAATGGACGAGCGGTAAGCATAAACATAACAAACAATCCCTTTTGCACCACATTTTTCGGTACTTGGCGCAAGCTACCGCTCCCCGACAAGGTAGCCCTGCGACGGTGGGAAGAGGTGTATAGGCAGCTGTTATTTGGGAATCGGTGGGTTACTGACTCCCAAGGCTCAGTCTTTCTTTGCACTGAGACCCCCTGGAGGAGGTGGGTGCGTCGGGGTGTTTTTATAGTAGGGGGTACTAGGGGATATATGGGATTTGGACACTAGAGACTGGATCACTGAATCCCAGTTAAGGGAGTGACTGCGATATTATCATAATATTGGAGAAACTCTTGAAAACAATTATTTACTCGATTCTTTTGGACAGGGTAAGGATTCTGAAGAAGGGGCGAACCCTGGACGAAAGTGACTGGGTAGGGATCAGGGGGTGTGTAGATCGGGTGGGAAGTGTGGTGGTGTTTGACCGTCCAAATGGAAAGGTGTCGGTGAATCTCTTTCAGATCAAGAGCAAAAAGAGATTGGTTACGACAAATCCGAAAGAGACAAGGAGACTTAAAGAAGAGGAAATTTTTCGAATTAAGGTGCTAAAGAAAGGAGAATAGTGGTGGGTGTACAAACCTGATACCTCGATTGCACATCTAGCCTTCGATCCGGCCTCTTGGGTCTGGACCACCCACCTAGGCAGAGGCAAGACAGAAAAACAAAAGATCTATTCAATGACAGTTAAGGGAGCCTACCTCCTACTACGTCAAGTGGTGAATCTAAAAGATGTGGTAACGAAGGGTTGGATGAGACACCTGAATCTACAAAGGAACTCCCTGCATCCCATCAAATGGTTCAGGCTTAGTAAAACATTACCAGCCAAGATTGCATCTTTACAATGGCAAGTGGAACACCGCTGTCTGCCCACAAATGACTGACTGATTGACCGTACATCTTTATAACAAAATGACCTTGCTCTCCCCTGGTACAAATTATGTGTGACATCATACCCGCTAGGCGGAAACAAGAAACAATTGAACACATTTTTCTACAGTGCCCTGGGTCAGTTTGGTTGTGGAGATGGTGGGATCGAGTGTGGTGCCTGTTAGGTGCAACAACCCCTTGGTCGTGGAACCGGAAACCAATTTTGTGTGAAACTTGGCAGTCGGAACAAGCGAGCAACTTTGAGAGAAACACGTTCATAATGGGACGTAAAGCAATTTTTTGGGCAATCTGGTGGAAAAGGTGCACAAGGGAGATGAGAAGAGTCCGCCTTGAGGGTCCGACTGTCATATAGATAATCAAACACTAGATCAAGGTAGACCTCATGGTGCAATGGGAAAAAATAAGGGAAAAAATAGACTTTATACGAGTGCAAATTCAATCTTTCTGTAAGGACTGGCTGGGAGGGGAACAAGGGGGTTGGATAGCGAATGTGCAATGGGAAGGGGGGGAGGGAGGAGAGGGAGGGAATAAGGAAATTTTGAAAGGGACTTCTACCTCAACTTTCATGATTGGACTAGAATTGACCCCTCCACTCCGTTACGGCCTCTCTAAGACTTCCCTGATCTCTTTCCGCCGCCAACGAAGTTCAACTCAATTGTCGAGACGCATTGGTGTGCAGGTGATTAAAAATGGTCAACTGTGGATGCAGTATGAAAATTATTTTAAATTGTTTGATTTCTTGTTCAGTTATTACTTTGAATTCCAAACTAGTCAATGGTAGGGGGAGGGAGGATCTAGTGTGTAGAAGGAGGTATCTAGCGCCGGGTTTAGGGCGAAGAGGCTCCCCCCTCTCTCCAATATCCTGTTCAGTCAATCCACTTTATCCCAGGGTAATCAATCCTCGCATGAACCTTCCACAATCTTGTTTTGATATGCTCCAAATTTAGTTTATATATGGGACGCTAGACCCGTTTTCCAGCAGGTGATGCTCCCCACAAATAGATGGAGCCGCTCCCCAGGTGTTAGTGGTGTCTGTTCTTATCAGCACCACTAACACGGGTGGGGCGTTCTCGTAATATCTATCTATCTATCTATCTATATATATATATACATGTATATGTATATATATATGTATATATTTATATATGTATATATATATATATATATATTATATATATATTATGTATTATATATATATATATATATATATGCAGGGTGGCCGACATTCGGAACGAGCCGAACGCCCGAACGTACAGGACCCCTTAAGGATGCGTTCGACCGTTCGGGCCAAACACGGGAAAAAATAAAATTAAAAAAATCTGAAAAATATATATATTTTCTAGGGTACCAGCCGGGCCGCCCGGGTCCCGGGTGGCCAGCCCGTGTAAGGATCAGGTAAGGTGTCAGCAAAAAA